TTGGATCAATTCTCATAACAATCGGCCGCTCAGGCAGCCCCGGGTTTGTATCCTTGATTATGCAAGATTCACTTCGATGTTCGTTTAGATGTCTTTTAAATATGTGCTAAGGCGGTAAAAATCATAAATTGTGCAGATGACCTTTCTATATATAATCGGGGATATGTAGGATACATTCCGATGTATCCCAGATTTTAATAGCTCTCTACTTGCCTGGCCTATGTTGAAAACCCAAGCCAATCCTTCATAATTAACATGCAGTTGGGTCCAGTTCAACGCTAAACCCTAATTGATTCCGCACATATAAATGATTCTTGCAAGCGCTTGACCTTACAGAACTCCTACGGAATCGGGATTAGCGGCGTTGATGCAGTTTGACGCCCCTATCACATATCTCGCCATACAAAGTCGAGTATCCCAAATCTCAAGCCTGTATTCCAGTTCAGACTGCTTTCAGTCAACGGGATCTTGAAGAATTCAGTACTCAGTACAGGCACCGCTCCTGGAACTGCTTTCTCATGATTCCACGTCACATTTCTCGTTACAAATGTATACTAGTCAGAAAAGAAGAGAGGATCCACAGGGGTAGAAATGAAGCCATAAATATGGCTTCATCCCCAGGCATTAAGAATATTAGACAGTTTTACAATTCATTTTTCATACTGCAAAGTATTCCTTTGTAAAAGATATCAATCCAGTTACTACATGCTGTTTAGTATACTATTCCTATAGTATATTATTCAACAGCCCAATCGTGATCCCGATTTAGTAATGGGTCAAGTGCGTTACGGAAATCCTTGGAGAAAGTTCAAAAAAATAGCCAATCGGCTGATGCCCATTTCCCAGTTTTGTCTGTGGAAAGGTTCTATAGTTCTATCATTTTTTATACATAATGCTCGGCGTTGAGTGGGAGCATGTGGGGGGTATCTTATCTATCAATTAAAATAAAAACGTGGGTTCCCGGGTTGAATCCGGAGAACCATGCAAATCGAAGAATCAAATGACTCAATTCGAGTGACGAGCTCAGGCTGTTGATTCGCCGGCTGTCTTGGGCGCGACGTCCTCAGCGGTGACCTGCACCTCGTGGGCATGTTCCAATTCAGACAGAACAATCCACGTGGGGACGAAGGCGAGAACGGTGATTCCAAAGTTGAGACCGATGCTGACGAAGTGGTTGGCACCACCTTCGGTTTGCATCGCCCATGCAACGGTTTGTCCCAGAGCCTCGAATCCACGCAGGATTCCGCAGTGGTAGGACAAAGAAGAAATATCGGTGCTGTACTGACCAACCAGCCAGTAAAGGAATTGCTGGAAAGCTTGGCCACTGAAGGTCCAGAAGAAGATAAGCGCGTATCCTTTGTTGAAGCCGCTTGTGAACCAGTCGAACAACGGGGGCTCGGGTGCGTCGTAGTACTGCTTCTGCAGGATGGTAGCCCAGATCCACGTGCCGATGATCAGGACAACGACGGAAGAGAAAGCGATTCTAGCGCGGGTCTTGATGAAGATGGATTGGCGATCGAGTAGGGCTGCCCAGATGAACGAAGACGCGATTCCGGCGAAATTGGTGAGGAACGATGAGAATGCGCGAGATCGGACAGTGAAGTAGGTGGTCAGGAACGTGCTCTGGAAACCGTTGTAGAAGTAGCTGATGAAGAAGGCTGGGAGTAGGAGGAGGACACGGCGAGTGCAGATCAGAGAAAAGACAGCCTTGAATTCCTTGCCCCAAGTTTCTTTCTTATCCACAACCACAAGAGAGTGGTCCTTGCGCTGCACCTTCTCGGCGGGACTGAGTAGAAGCGAAATCGGCAGACCAAGACACATGATGACAATGAAGACGATGTAAGTCGAAGCGCTGACTGTTCCCTTTTGGGAGCTCTGGGCATTCAGTCCCAGACTGATTGCACCGCCGACAATTGGACCGGAAGACTTGGCGGTCTGCCAGATGGCAATGTAGAAAGCGCGCTCCTTTGGACTGGGATAACCAATGATAATAGCGGCCTCAGCAGCCCAGAAAAATCCAGCTGAGATACCACACAGCGCGGAGCCGAAGAGCAAGAACCATGTCGTGGGGTGGTAGTTATTAGTGTATAGACCGGCACCATAGATCGGGTAACCGATCGCACCAAGAACCAGACCGTACCGAAGACCAATACGGTTGTTGATTGCACCAGCGGCGATACAAACAACAGCGAATAATCCGTAGACCAGAGCGTTCGCCGCAGAGACAGCGTAAGGCTCGGCTGCACCACCAGCTCCAAGGTTGTTCAGTGCATCCCACATTCCAGGAGCGGTGAATGAGACACCACTAGCAACGGCAATTTGGAAGGGAATGGAGCGGTACCAAGACGACCGAGGCCGGGTGATAGTCTGAGAGTCATCGTTGGTAGAACCAACTTCTGGCTCAATTGAAGGGGCCATGGTCATATGTATGCCCTCTCAAGAGTCCCTTTCTTATAAACAACGGTATAACAATAAAGAAGAAAGAACAAGAATTAGACGAAGAAGTTATATTGATAAAAATTTAAATTAAAGGTGGATCCCGGGATGTCGTGCTTGATGCCAAGACATTGAAAAGACCCCAAATGGAAAACTTGCGGCAGCGCCACGTTCTCACTATGCTTTGACTAGCTTCGGCACTTCGATGGCCTAACAACCCTAATGACATGACATGGATGTTATACGGTTTCCAGCTCGAATATATTTTTCAGATATATGAGGCAATTCAACACTCACACATTAACAGACAATCGCTCTTTTCGTGCGTCCCGGTTCACGAGAAAGGCGATCAAGCCAACGCTCAAGAATTGTGCGATAGTAGTAACCAGAGTTGAAATGAATCCCGCTCGAAAGTTGGGGGCAGAAATAGCTGGATACTGAAAGATTTGTGTCCATGCTGCGAAGGCCTGGCCGATCGCATTCATGCTTGCTGTGACGATAGCCCGTTCCTCGGCATCCTTGGCCATAGTGATAGTCGCCCAACTCATACTGAGCGGACTAATCGCTGTGATAAGAGTCAATATCCAAGTCATTCTTTAAGATGAGAAATGACGAATAAAACCAAAGAGCCTGTATTCGGGAACCACGTACCGCCTTCGAATCCAGTGAGGATAAACCCAAATAGCCGTCCCGTTTCCCCCACATTATAGACAACAAGCAAAATGACACCAATCAGGACGGGAATGCTGGTCACCACGGAAGGAATCCAGAAGTTTCGCAGGCGATCAGCGGTAACACCCGCTACTAGCGCGGCTACGACGGACAGTGCCGTTGCAATTGTCGGCAAGGTGTTCACCCGTGAGACGGAGTAGATTTCTGGCTTAGCCTTGAGATATAGGCTAAAGGGCGTCGAGTATGGTGTGAAGTTCTGGTCCATTAAGGCCCAATGCACGACGAAGACATACCAATGCCATCTTCCAAAGACTCGTTTGAAGATGGCCCGAGAAACTTTTAGTTCGCTTGGTGCTGTGAGACCTTCCAGACGAATGTTGGCAATATCGTGCTCGGTCGCTGTCAAGAACCGTGGCTTTGAGCGATGAGGAACATCTGGGAAAATGAAATATCCGCTGGTCTGTGTTAGATGAACAAGCGAACAGCCCCGGGGTAGGATATGACTTACACAATGCAAATAGGAATTGTGATAATAGTGCAAATAATGAACAACCATCTACCAACGGGTCAGTGCCAAGAACACCAAAAGTCTTTCATATACAATTAGAGTCAAATACCTCCACCCAGCCAATCCATGCTTCCCTTCCAAATTTGTATAAGCAGCAGCTTGCAAATAACCCGCGAACATAGTCCCAAGTGGCGAAGCGACAAAGAAAAGCGCAACCCGACGCGTCACCTCGCCCGGTTTGTACCACGACCCGATGACATAGATGACGCCAGTGAAGGAGCAAGACTCGCAGATCCCAATGAAGAAGCGCATTGCGTATATTTTATTTAGATTCTGCGCCCAAGCGCAACCGAATGTGAAGAGACCCCATCCGATTTCCAAGGTCGGCAACGCAATGTTGATACGCGTGCGTGTTAGCCAGTAGCAGGCCGGTATCATGGAGGTGCAATACGAGGCCCAGAATACCGCTGTAATGTAGTTCAATTCGTTACCATGCAGATTAAGGTCTTCTTTCATGCCTCTATGATGGGTTGTTAGTAATCGGGCTTATCTGCTGGACTGACGGTATTGCCGACATACGATACATAGGCATTGGTGATCGCCTGCTGGTCAAGGTATTTGGTGAAGAATGAAAGGCAGCCAAAGATTAGGATCATGATATCTAGTTTGAGGACGAGCTTTTTCTCTGGGTGAGACATGTCCTTGGGATACCATTTGGCATGGGTAAGGAATCGGAGCCATAATCCATCTTGCAGCTCTGGATTGGATTGGACCTCATGATCGGATATTTCATGAATCGACTTGGTATCAGTTATGTATGAATTCTCCATATTTGAGTACTTGAATCGATAAACAGCTGGAAGCGATAATTCAGGGCTGACCCAGTCTCTATATGACAGTGATCATCCCTTGCTTGCGGGTATTCTCTTATTTTTCTTGCATGTTGCCATTCTTCGCTAGGTGCAAGTCTCGATAATGGAAAATGCCACGATTATCACGCCTGATGGTGTCATGTGCGCATGCATGCACCTGCTACCCAATATTGCGGAGAAATCACGAATCTCGGAGACTGGCCGAGTCTGATATGCGAGCGTTCTCATTACTGGTCGCTAAGCTCGGGACATTGACGCCAGCTTATCTTGATTGATCAGATTCATAATCTAAAAGGAAATTTGGGAGTATGATGTTTCGTTCTTATGTTCAGGGGTTGAATGCTTGGCAAATAATTGACGAGGCACGGAGTAGCCCGGGCTTCAAGTGTCCAAGATAAGACAATGAAGATGAAATTCAGAACTGACATGATGTGTAACGCTTGATGTGTATCGATGTGAATGGAAAAAGGCGGAAAATAAATGCTCATAATCATACAATATATACCCCTTCCTCAACTCTTGATGTCGATCTTGTACTCGTCGGCCCAGAAGGTGACATTTTTGTTCACAGAGTAGACCTCAGTTCCGAAACTGAGACTGCCAAGGTAGTCGTTTTTGGACGGATAGTCACTTCCTCCGAAGCTGTACAGATCGGTGATGAGAGGATAGAGGTCTCCAGAGAACTTCTCGACAATCGTTCCCATTTCCGGGACCCAGGACAAAACGTATTGTCCGTTGTCATTTTGACCGGTGTAAAGTGTGCTGATGAGAATACATGTTAGCGTATGCTGGAATATGTCAGGTACAAGTTGAACTTCAACTAACAATTTCGTTCCATCCAAGGTCCTGTTGATTCCTGGGTTACCCCATCCATGGGGCTGGGCCTCCAGATTCGACATCCAGAACCAAACCATGACCTCGAATTTCGCCTGAGTTTCATTCTTGGCTTTATCGGCATCGGCATCCAAGAACATATCAATGGCGACGTTAGTAGCAAGGTTTTCGGTCGCCAACGCTTGTACATCCGTTGATGCGGCGGTCGTGTCACCCAGTCCATATGTCCAACTCAGGTCAAGATTCAACTCCGAGATATTTTCCAACTCCTTTGGCAATACATTGTCGACGCGAATATTCGGGTATCCGTGGACAGGCGCAGTCTGTGGGCCAGGGTCAAACTGCCAGGTGATAGAAAATTCGGGAGCGGTTTGGGCGGCATAAGTCTGGTTGACCAACGTTGTGATCTAAGTCAAGATGCTACGTTAGTACGCTTTTAGTAAAAGTGTGGATGGGTATGTTCAATGCATACATTCATGCAAAGCCCGTTTCCTGTCGAGGTACTTGTCACACCCCATTGATTAGGATTCACTATAGTTTCGGTCAGTCGTTGTTCAAGGGTCAGTAGCCCTCGGGCTGGTAGCTTGGGGTGTACCTACGGGTGTATTGTTCAGTTTTTGATGGTGGAGTGATTCCCCAAGACAGCTCGCAGTATTGGGTGTGCTCCACGCCGTTGTTCGTGATTGTGTTATGACCGCCACCACCGCCAGTGCTGTCGCTGCCGCCGGTGCTGTCATCGCTATTGTTCCCCCCGGTAAATAGAGGCTTCTGACCCGTAGCGGCTCGGTGGGCGTCAAGGCCCATAAGAGCTCCAACGCTTCCCCCAACTGGGATGGCCACAAGGACCGCATTGACGATCAGTCCTATCCCAAAAACCATGATCAAAAGCGAGAGGCGTATCAAGTCAAGAAATAAGCGATAGTGAGCAAGTGAGAATGATAAGCCAGCCAAAGATGAGAGGGAATAAAGAAAAGAAAAAAAAAGAAAAAAACCAATACGTTGAACAGCGAATAGCAAAGGGGAAATTCTCGGTATCACATCCCACAGCAATATGTGGATGAGTGAATGGGAAGGTCGAGATGCATCGGGTTAGTATGTTTAGGACGATCGGGACTACGTAGGTAAGCGTTGACCATACAAGTCTTGTTGATAAGAAAAGGGCCCTTTAAGCGGGGTCTTTTCCAAGCTTAGCGTGGTAATGGTGTGCTCATGTATGCTTTCGCTCTGCAGTATATTACGAGAATTCAGGTACAGTTCAGGTACGGAACCACATCAAGTCCTCCGATGGAAACTTTCATTTTATGGATTATTATGATTGGTCGGATTAGGTGGCAATTTAGGAACTGAAAATAGAAACTTTGTAATATTACTGAAATATTACAGTGTACAAAGTGGAAAAGAGAAAAAAAGCAAGACATGACCCGCTTGATGCAACCAGAAAGTACCCAAGAAAAAGTCAGACACATTGCGTAAGAAACCAGTAGTAGAAGTGAAACATTACGTTTGAAAAATTCATTTAAAATTCATTAAAATTCATTAAAAACGATGAAAACCGATTAAAACCGATTAAAAACCGTAAACATCAGGGAAAAATCTATTTTTGCTCGCCGCGCCGGCCCAATGCGGCCATGCACCATACTCCTTGGCGTGCACTAGCCTCAGGGCTTAACCATCTGGTCCCTTTGAGATCGCCGGTACCGTACGCTAAAATACTAGGGAATGTGAAACCTTTTCTCTTCCATCCTTCCATTCCAGCTCTTTGGGCTGATCACACTCGTTTTCAACCGTTCTCAAGATCCCACATTCCTCGTCTTTTGAATTAGATAACCTAGAACTTTTCGTCTCGAGATGGACCGACGTTATGGTCCCGACGATCAGGATGAAAAGGTAGAGCTGAATACCTACCGAGGCTTCCATCCAAACCCCAGCTTCGAACAAACAGAGCCTTTTGCGCCCTCACCAGTCTCTCCGAGACCTCTTACTCCAGTCAGACCGGGTCATTTCCCTACCGATGAGTACGGCCAACCAGTTTGGCTTCAACCTACCGCTCGAATGTCCGGACACTCTGATAACAACTCGTCCTGGGACACACGGACGCCGTATGATTCCCGGTCGGCTTCACCAACTCTAGTTAGTACAATCTTTTCTTTGTTCGCTTTGTTCTCGATATAGATCACAGCCTAACAAATTTTATCTGTACAGTACCAAAACAATGGAGTGCAAGAAAGTCATCAGAGTCTTGCCCCCCTAGTGAGCTCACCTGCTCCTCCTTCATTTGAAAAGGACTGGGTCAAATCTGGATCGATTGCTCGCATCCATGACCGCGATGATGCGGAAACATGGAAAGGATGGAAGAGATGGGTCTTTTTCCTGGTACCATTTCTCACACTCGCCAACACCGGAATTTACATGTTCTATCTCGGTCTGAGAATTTATTGCATCATTATGGCCCAAAACATAGCTCACGTCTCATATGCTGGAGCTTGGGTCTTTGTGGCTATTGAAATCACTGTTGCAATCCCCTCCCTCATGCACAACTGCTGGACTATGATGGCCTTGAAGAGGAGAGGCCGTGCCAAGCTGAGATTGACCGGTAATGAATGCCCTACGGTGGATGTGTTTATCACTTGCTGTGGAGAGGACGACGAAGTTGTTCTCGATACCGTCCGTGGTGCATGTGACCAGGACTATCCCCGCGACCAGATGAGGGTCATCATCTTGGACGACGCCCACTCTCCCACCCTCGAAGCTGCCTGCAACCAACTCGCCTTGAACCACCCCAACGTCATTTACATGGCCCGTGAAAAGATACCCGGAAAGCCCCACCATTTCAAGGCCGGTAACTTGAACTATGGTCTCGATCAAGTCAACCTTTTGCCCGGAGGCGCCGGCCAGTTCATGGCTGCCCTTGATGCTGATATGGTAAATCACCAATACCCAGCTTAAACTGAAATTGTAATTTTGGTACTGACAATCTGCAGATTCCCGAACAAGACTGGCTTCGCGCGATTCTTCCCCACTTGCTGGTGGACCCCAAGATGGCCCTTGCATGCCCGCCGCAGCTTTTCTACAACACCCCTGCATCCGACCCGCTTGCTCAGAGTCTAGATTTCTTCGTGCATGTTATTGAGCCGATCAAGGACGCACTCGGTGTGGCCTGGTGCACTGGATCTGGTTATGTCGTTCGACGCGAGGCTCTCGAAGAGATCGGCAACTTCCCGCTTGGTTCTTTGGCTGAAGATGTCGCGACCTCAACGCTCATGCTTGGCAGAGGATGGAGAACCGCATACATTCACGAGGCTCTTCAATTTGGTACCGTGCCGGAAGACTTTGGTGGACATCTTAAGCAGCGTACGCGATGGGCAATTGGAACCGTTGACACAGCTGTCAAGCTGAAGTTCTGCCTCTGGGGTGACGCTGTTCGACAGATGACCTTTGCCCAGCGCTTCTCTGGCTTCCTCTACGCAACTCTCAGTGTTTACACTCTCCTGCTGACTATTTCACTCTTTGCCATCCCGGTCATCCTCTTGTGGGGCAAGCGCCTCGTCGCCTTTGCAACCGAAGAGCAACTCCGCTGGCTAATCTGGGCCTGCTTCGCCGCAACCATCTCCAACCGTCTCTGTGAAATGGCCCTGTTCATCCCGGCCGGCTACCACACCGGTCAACGAGGCTCCCGCTACCAACTTTGGATGTCACCCTATATCGCTCTCTGCATTGTGCGCTCCTTTTTCTTGCCCACCTGGTTGGGTGGTCAGACCCAAGCCTTCAAGCCAACGGGTTCTCTGGGCTCAGCTCTGAACGAGCGCGACCCAAAGAAGTCCAAGAACATGTTCGTCCGTTTGCGCGTGATCCTGTTCAACTACATGGCCAGCTTCCACCTTGCATTTGTCTATGTTACCCTCGTCGCAGTCGTCATCTCCTCCTACCGCTGCTTCAACCAGAATTCTGGCTTCAGAGATATCATCCTCTGCCTCATCACGCACGCTTTCTGGCCCCCGCTGACCTTCCTTTTCATCTGCACTTCGCTCTGGACCCCGGTCTCTTATGCGATCGACCCGCCAAAGATGCCAGAACGTGAGGAACTTCTGACTCGCGACCCTAAGACTGGTGTCGCGCACCCGACCAAGAAGAGTAAAAAGATCGCCTTTGGTGGCCAGGCTGCTTGGTTCGAGCTCGAATATACGGTTGCCACCGTAGCGACCATCTTGGTATTCGTCTACTCGTTTATGTTCTAATTATGATTTCCCCAGATGCGATTTTTGGAAATCTGTCTGTATAGCTAACGTGTCACATGCTTCATTTGCAAGCCCTTTCTATCTTGCGCGTTATATATGTATCTACACCTTGGAGAGTGGCGTTAAGCTTTTGTTTGTGTTTTGGTGTATCATGTACTGCATATTGGGCCTTTGTTATACGGAGTACATAAAATACATATTTTGAATCAACTCCACAGAAGTGACCCATCGCTGGGGCTGTGTATTTCCGTACACAAATAGCCGGCGATCAATACATATTACGACCCTGAAACCAGATCCCTCTCGGCCAATCATTCCATGTTTGGTCTAAGCGCTGGTTTTATCTCGGACCGAAGCGGATGCGTTGCCTGGGTTATCTATATGGATCCTGCATTGAGGCCTGATAACCATTTGTCGTGTCAATGTTTACCTTGCGTTATTGCTTATCGACTGCATTGATCGCCAATCCGTTTTTGACCCGGTACTCCGTACTTATATCAGACATCTTCTTTTGATAGCTGATGGGAGTTGGCGATCAGGGTCACCGCTGTTTTGGTGACGTTGCTTGGTTTAGAGCTTATGCAGAGAGGGACACATTGGAAAGCTTGATAGAATTGACTCATCGGGGTTATCATACCCCGTAGTTGGGATAAGTAATAACTTGGACTTACTATTGATTAATATTGAAAAGGATAAGTGTTTATTACTAGCTCAGATATTAATAGCCAAGACTCTTTGTTGGTCCCGACCCCCTCATTACCAAAGTACTCCAACACGCCACCATTGAAGTTCTCTCTCTCTGAAACATCATTCCATTGCCAAGTGAATATCCCTCTTTCTGAATCTTAGTGGATCGATTAGGCTCAGCCAAGGCACCCCTGTTCTGATCCTAATGCAATTAAATGGTGAACGACGTCTGTTTTTATCAGAAAACGTCGCAAAAGCAAAAGAATCACCCCTGCTAGTTCTCATAACTACTACCCTGGTGCCGGCGGTGCCGGAAGTGAATCCTACCTTGCCATTGCCATTGCCATTGGCCATTGGTTTAGAAAGGGTCTTGCGACAGGCTCTCCCCATACCCCAGTTTTCCTGCCCCGTCATCGTGGCGAAGAATAAACACTTCCATTTAAGGTATATATAAACCGCCGGCGTGGGTCGGATTTGCCACCGAACCGTTAACGGTTCGGGGCTTTATCAGCTGCCCGTCTTGCCATACATCAGGACTCTTTTTGATGGGAGCAGTGTTTAATAGGCTTCAAGCCACTCGGTCCGGTTTGGATTCCTCCGGTCACCTGATCGGTTTTTAGGTATCTCCCGCCAGATATCGCTATCTAGATACAATCAGACTCCAACTATGTCACCGGACTCGGATTCGAAAGGTCGAGATCCGGGCTATACACCGGATTGATTGTTTCAAGCCCCGTGGTTCGTGAGTTGGATGTGATTGTGAAGGCTATTTAGAAGAGCAGACGTCGCCGAGTTCAAATTTAGTCCATAGCAACAAAGTGCAATTAACACAGTTGAAACTTCGGTCTCAACCTTCCTTTACTACATATTCAATTATAAAGCTATCTCTCTGAATTTGTATTCACAATGTCCTTCTTGAGGAACTTCTTCGGTACCTCCGCTGTTCCAGCAAAGGAAGAGGAGAAGCCTATCCCTATCCGTGCTCTACCCGCGTCATGGTACACATCCAAGGATATGTACGAGCTTGAACGCCGATCTATCTTCTCCCGGAAGTGGCTTCTTACTACACACAAGCACCGAATCCCCAACGCCGGTGACAGTGTTCGCTACGACGCCGCAGGCTACGAGTTCATCGTCGCCAAAGACAACAATGGAACCATCACCGCTCTCCACGGCAACGATCTTTTCCCCGCTCATGTGCACATTGACCGCAATGGATTCGTCTGGGTGAATCTGGACGCCAGCGAGACCCCGGAAGTTGCCTGGAAAGACGATTTCGAAGGTGTCGACGAGCAGCCCCGATTCGACTACTACAACTTCGAGGACTATAACTTCGATCACACATGGGATATGGAGGGCGCATTCAACTGGAAGATCCTGGCCGATAACTACAATGAATGCTACCACTGCCAAGTTGCTCACCCCGATATCCCCACCATCGCCGACCTCCACTCCTACTATGTCAAGACCAAGGCCGGCCACATCCAACACTACGGCGCCCAGCGACAGGACCAGATCGACAAGGGTTTCCGGATCGCAACTACCTACTTCTGGCCTAATGCCTCTTTCAATATCTCGTGAGTATATACTCTATCTCTCACTAAACTTTATAAAACGCTAATGTTGACCCTCCCTAGTCCCCACTTCTTCTTCATGCAGCGCTTCACCCCTACCAGCCCGACCCAATGTGTAATGCGCTATGAAGTCTACCGCCACAAGGACGCCAGCGACGCGGACTTTAACCTCATCAGTGACATGTACAAGCGAATCATGTCTGAGGACAAGTACCTGTGTGTGAACACGCAGAAGAACCTCGACGCTGGTGTCTTTGTCAACGGCCAGCTTCATCCCAAGATGGAGCAGGGCCCGCTTCACTTCCAGAAGACTGTCCGCGACGTTGTCGTTGAACACTATGGCAAGGAGGAGACTGCGGGTCATCAAATCTGGCCTGCAAAGCGCGATATCCCTGCGGACGTTGCTGTCAGCCAGGATCAAGAGAATGTCGCTCTTCGTACGGGTGGGCACGTGGACACTTTCAAGGATGCCATGGGTACCGGTCTATCCACAGTAACGGCAATCGCTGTGTAGGGCTGGTGATGGGTTGGAAAAGGAGGACATGATTTACGACATGGTTTGATATTGCGTTCCATTTAGCATTGTTTGATGATAATTATTTAGAAATTAGTTTGCTTGTGTGGAATTTAGCCTTGACAGAATGGATACATTTTATATTTTCTTCAGCATGCTATATATTTTAAAATCAAGTCTATCTCGCTAACAATTACAGTCATCTATATATACACAACCCCCGTAAGAAAGAAATAAATGATCACTCTGCCCAGTCAACTAGGAACTCATCCAGCAAATCATAATTAGCCCTCTCCCTCTCCCTCCGTCCCCGAAGAAGATCAGCAGCAATATCAAACTTAGGCTCGGGACTAGAACGGTCCTCCTTCTCTGGCGACGAAGCACGACTCGAAACATTTAAATGTCGAGCGACATTGATCTTCCCCAATTTACTACCCCCAGCAACGGGCTTGATAGCGGGTATCTCAGAGTCAAAGTCTCCCAAATCAAGCTCAACCCCAGACTGTCTTTTCGTATCCTGTACATCACGCCCATGGTCTGATCCCATATTCTCAACACCGAGCAGAGACGAACCGCGCCCAGGATTCATCCTAGGATATTGATACGACTCACTCAATGACACCGGCGACTCAGACCTCGTCGCGCGGCTATCATTATGATCAAGCGAATCAAAGCTCCGCGGCGACCACGGGATTCTCTGCTCAAGCGAGTCCTCCTGTATTTGATGCCTACGAGCAGCACGCAAGTAACCCCTGCCAGGATCACGAGAACATTGTCGATGATCACATCCATCGGTCAACAGGTCTGTAAGAAGGACATTTAACTGCGCCAAGCGCTTGACCTGTCTGGCCGGAATAGAGTCCTCCGAATAGTGAGCCAATTTCCTCTTACGGGCCGTGCGCGCCCCCATCCCCATTTGGGTCTGCGTCTGCTCTGGAAGTTCTCTCGCCTCCCTCAGCCCGCGAGACTCAAACCTCGGTGATTGGCCGGCCTCCATTTTCAGCGTTTCTTCCTCGTCGTAGGCGATAGCGGGCTTGAACCCGATGCCGTGGTCGATGAGGACTTGGTTCAGATAATTGACGCGGCTTTCGAGGAAGGCTACGTAGCTGCGTGGTACCTCTTGCTTGGTGAGTGGGTCGTAGCCCACGCAGCGGACTTGGGCTTTCTCGCATGACTCGCAGCGAGGGAGGCGCTGGTCGCAGCGGTGTTTGCGCAGACGACATCTGTTGCAGGCGGAGACGCTGCGGAATGGAGGGGCTGGGGGTTCGGGGGTTGTTGTTGTTTGGGTGTTTGACTTGGCCTTTGGGGCTGGATTTTGGTCTGATGTGAGTGCTGGTGAGGTCGGAATGTTTCTGCGGTTGGTTTTCATTGAGCTTTTGGGGTTGGGGAGTGGACTCCGTTTGGTTTCTAGGGAGGATGAGGTTGGTGGGAGTTTCAGCATTGTATGTAGGTAAGCTTGTGAATGGAGTTATGTTGGAATAAATGAAAAGACAATATTTTCAAGAGCTACATAGTATCATTTCCATTATAGATTGCTATAGTTATGAACTCCGAAAGTAGGGCTTTGAATATGTCCGATAGAGTTTGAATCCCGGGTTTATCCCGGAACCTTAGCGTTCTCGTCTCGACGGGCACCGGAAGAAGGACCTAACTCCGAGTATGTGGGGGCTTTGATCTGATGTCTTAATAAGGTAATTGGTGTCTGATATCTATATCCTTGGGGAGTCATAGAAAAGAGCTTAAATCTAAACACAACTCGTTCATCTTATCTATTATGCTAACTCGCTTTCAGCCTCTAGGTTGTAGATTCTAAAAGGAGAAGACTATCAGCTCGGACGAATGCGGAAACACTACTTGGTCCACGTGGATAGAAGCTGTGGAGCTGCGGATACGATATGCCCCCACGTCAGAACTAGAAAAATTGCACAATCAGGCAATCTTTCGCTCAAAATCGGTTAAACGCGGAGAGTCATATCAAGAGTCCACAAGGTACTAACCTTTTGGAATAACGCTGGAGCCAATTGATATGCCAAGATTTGGTGCATGGACCACTGCTTGTCCCCGCATTCCTTCTGGAAGTACGGCAAATATCTTAGTACTCGGATTATTATCCGTCTGATATTAGCATTGACTCTATATCTTGAACAGGGACTACAAAAAGATCAATCCAAGTGGTAAAGTTGGACCACATATACTGAACAGGTGTAGATATCCATCCACAAGCTTAGGATTACAGGAGTGCAACGTCTATTGGACGGGCATTGCTGTTGCCCTGGATACATTTCCCCTCTCGGTCATTCTAAAGCTTAATATAAAGTTCCGTAGATACTGCACGGGAAAGCCTTCTCTTCGCCGATCTTTCCCACGTCAATTTTCCAAGTCGAGTATTTAAATATAGCATGCATTATTCGTGACAAATGCATATGCAACCCACTTTTATACCCCCTCAATCATAGCGTTGATCCCGAATCATCCGAAGTGGTTTCCCGCTAGCATCCTGAGGAGACTCCTTACAGAAACTAGTCGGGCCGGTACCACCTATCTCTCTTATATGCATGTCTGGGCCTCCCTTTTATTATATTTCCGTCCCAGGAGAAGCTGTCGTGCTATTTACAGCCTGCTGAGTTGCTTTTGATTGCCTAGCTCTCAACTAGATTAGTGCAATTTATTACAACTAGTGTAGGGATCCCTATTCCAATTTCGATCACTTGAGACTATTCCTTGTCCATAATAATCCCAAATAGCTACGGAACAAATGGATGAGAAGCTATCATCCCTCACGAGATATTCTGCTACAGATAGAAAGATGCTCTCCCGGTATACTAGCTATGTAACAAGAAACTAAACTAAGCAAAACTGTAGCTTGATCCTGTTTATGAAGATTTCTACGCTTATACCTTCAAACTTACGCGGGATTCGGATGATCCACAAAAGGAACCATGCACCATCCACTGGGACCTCATCGAAGATGGATTTGGCCGACCGGGCATAATGATACTTCACCATAAATCCAATGAGGAGCTACGACCTATCCAGGTCGAGCTTAGCCAATTGCCTGCAAAACAACTCTACCCCTGAAATGTATCCGCATCAGATCAATGTTTTAAGCAAATTACCCCAGGCAACAGCATTTCTTGGGAGATGGCCTTGCCATCTGTCTGGTTTGATTCGTTCATTGAAGAAGACTCGTACGAAATATTCTGGCTGGGTGGCCAAATTGGGGAGCACTCACCGGGTTGTCCCAAAATCCCCTGCGGTGGTACTTCCTGACGGACAATATCAGTCACTTGAAATTACCAATGTCGAAAATGACCTAAAAGATGATGTGGAATCTAGGCCTTCACCGAGACCCGCAATCTGCTAGGGTGAGCGAGGCCCCAGTCTTCAGCGATAGCGTCGCTGGGCCCGCTACGTTATCGATGAAAGATCGCATACGATCAGAGACACTTCGCTATCCAGTCACTGTCACCGTCACGTATAATGCAGCCCCTGTTTCATTAAATTGAATTAGGGAAAACTGGTTATATCACATAAATTCATTTTTGAGGATGGAATATATCACCATTATACTCCAATATATATATTTGCGGACTCACTTTTCGAACAGTCAACTTCTTAGATTACGAGGATTAAACAAGTTTGTAAGTATATATTATTCTTTCTGTAGAAAAGGTATTCATGTCTCAGTTCGTAGTCTCCGCAGATCCAGATACTTGGCAGCATAATCATTAGCCAATACCGGATCGCCCGTCAGATGCATGACAGTGGCCTTCTTAGCCATCATCTCCGTCTGGCCCTTGATATCCTCAATTTCCTCGAAATGATCATACGCCGAGTCAATGTATCCAAGAGCACGGTTAATGTACTCTTTTCTCGTGGACGTCGAGTCCCGGCCCTGCAAGCTCCACAGCTCACCCGCCATGCCCATATTTGCGTCCACGAGAAGTGAATAAGCCTGTGCGATGAGGCTGAAGTCTTCTGACTCCAGGACCTGGGGCATGATGCTCTCGACTAGTTCACCTGTGGCTTCGAATTCACGGAGACTCAGTAATACTGTCGCCAGTGTGCAGATGGCCTCCCAGAGGTCGGCGAGGACTTTTGAGCGATGCGCGATGCTGGCTGCGCGCATGGCGAGAGAGAAGCCGCGTTGCGGTTGGCCGGATTTGCCGAGGATTTGTGCTTTTAGACAGAGGAGCTTGACTTGGGAGTGGACGTCGAAGTTCTCTGGTTGCATGGAGTGTGCGGCTTGCTCGACCATTCTCAGGGCGCGACCGTAGTCGCCTTGGCGCATGGTGAATTCTATTGAATAGAAGGCTAGAAGCATGCGCATGTCGAAGTCACGGAGTTGTACTGCCTGGAGTTGGGATAGAATGTGTTCGACGGCCACCTTGTCGTCGCTGTAGGTTGTTAGACCTGAAATCAGTAATGTACTTAGGGGTACTTACCGACAGATTTGTCGGCGCAATTGCAGTAGCCCCGAGAAATAAGTCCAGGCGTTGCTATATCTGAAAGCTCGGAGCTTCTCTGGGTCAATCTTATTCATCCTTGTGGATGCCTCCTTGTAATTGCCTTTCTGTGCCAACTGTAGGTGATGAATTAGCATTTCTGTTATACACTTTCAGAGAAAGGCAGCTGACATACTATTTGGCAATTTCGGAATGTGATCTTGACAAAGTCATCATGGGGTTGACCCTCCGAATAGCACTCGCGGAATATCTCGGTGTTTAGCCAAGCAAGGTGAGTAGCTCCTGTCAACTGTATTAGCGCCATCGCAATTACTATACACTTAGTATCATACCTATTCTGGCGTACATGGAGCCCTGTAACAGCATGTATGCACCTGTGGGAGTCGTAACGCCCTTTGTCACATTGATGTGGGATGCTCGCACAAACGATTCAACAATGGATGCAAGGCTCTCTCCCTGTTCATCATTAGCGTCAACTTCGTTAGAGGAAAGCACAAATCCTTACTTGCTGCATATCTAACTTAGCTTCGCTGAGAAGTGTGGTACTCATGAGAGACCACATGCTAGTCTCCTTGGACTTGGCCTTGAGGAAAGCGAGGCCTTCTTTTTCATTACCCAGCATGCCGCTGTTCTGAACTTCCCGCATCTGCTCTGGGAAAGCTTTACCGAAATGATACAGCCAGCTCATACAGAAGTTCAGGCAGTTCATATCGTGAGACTCGCGAGCAATTGCTACGGCCTCTTGCACGGCTGAAATAGCTTCACTGAAACACTCAAAATCTGCTTGCATGATAGCCAGGTTCAGAAGAGCAAATTGATATGCACTTCGGTCGAGATTCGCGTGCATGGTGTAGTCGAAGTAGCGGTGGAGATTGTCGAAGGCTGAGGTATAGTCTCCAGCCCTCCATGCATCAAGATATCTGGAATCTTGTCAATCATAACGTATATCGATAATGATGTATACAACAACGTACTCTAGGTAATACATCATTACTGGGACTGAAGTCTCTGAGGTCATGAGGCGTTTCAGCTGAGCTCTCATTCCATCCGGAACTCTGCCTCCCATTCCTGTGGCTGTTAGCACAGGGACATTGCAAGCTGGAAAAGAATTGCGTACTTTGCAGTTCACCAACTTGGAACTCAATCAAACGCTCTGCATCCTTTACGCTGACCTCTCCCTCTCTATCCTCATCATCTTCGATGTTACCGTAAACCACCTGTGAAAGGTGGCTGGTTGAATCCAGTCCCAGGTCGCGTAAATTGACATCAACGGCGACTTCTTCAGCCTCGCGATGTCTGCGACTCCAGTAGCTGTATGTGGGTAGACGGTATCTGACAAATCCTGCCCAGAGCTTCACAGAATCGTGAAACTGCAGCCGCGTATATTCAAGATAAGCTCTCCGTACAAACGCACCGAGCGGCGAACTCCTGGACAAGCGCATGCGATCATCCACCACCGGTGCAATTCCATTATCCCGGTCATGGATCAGCTCGTCGCGTGATTTAGCCAGGAGCGACGGGATAACCTCGCCGAAGAAAGTTTCCAGCGCATCCAGCGAGTCAATGGACCAGAGGTTCTTCAGAAACAAGTCCCAGAGCGTGCGCCCAGGAACAGAAGACTCATGGCGAGACAGGCATTCTTCAAGCGCTGAAATTGTCGGCAAGTAATGCTCCTCCCATTGCTTATCGGCGGCATCTAGTGGGAACAGACCCGCTGTGAGGAACGAGAGGACGTCAATAGCAGAAGAATTTGGCACGACGCCTTCAGTGTAGAGTGTGACCAGACACAGCAAAGAGACTCTCCAGGGAGTCAAATAACGCGTCATTTTGCCTTCGCTATAGCTGCCACATCTTGCTGTGTTCTATCAACGGTATTGTTCCAAGGGCGCGCGTGTTGGGGATAATTGATCGACACCTGAGGCTGCAAGGCTGCAATGCGGGACAGCACTCGGGAAAAAAAAGATGACGCATAACCACTTTCCTCCGCAACTCACCAATTGAACAATTTCACAATGGCTGAAGCTCTGACCACCACAGATTTGCAGGGTGCCTTGCCCCTTATCGCCAGAGGCAAGGTCCGCGACCTCTATGAAATTGACGATAAGACCCTCCTCTTCGTTGCGAGTGATCGCATCTCCGCCTACGATGTGATCATGGAGAATGTATACAATTCCCCACATCACCACAATTGTTTAATAGACTGCTTGCTAATGCCAGTCCTTTTGCAAAATAGGGTATTCCTAACAAGGGCGTTCTCCTCACCCTCTGCACGCAAACGTGGTTCAAGGCCCTGACAGAGGCAAACCCCTCCCTCCGCACCCACTTCATCACCCTCGACCTCCCGCCCCAGATCCCGGAATCCCTCCGCCCCATCCTGCAGAACCGTAGTATGCAAGTGCGCAAGCTGCGCATTCTGCCCATTGAGGCAATCGTCCGCGGATACATCACCGGCTCGGCATGGAATGAATACAAGAAGTCCGGGACCGTGCATGGAATCAAGGTCCCCGCCGGTCTGCAGGAGAGCCAGGCTTTCCCCGACGGCCCTATCTACACCCCCAGCACCAAGGCGGAGCAGGGCGAGCATGATGAGAACATCCATCCGGATCAGGGTATGTTCTTTTCGTCGATGAGATGCCTGTACTAGATGTATAGTACACAAGACAAGAACCCTAACTAACGTCATCCACAGCTGTCGCCATCCTGGGTGAACCATACGCCTCGACTGTTGCCAAGATGGCCCTTGAGCTCTACAAGACAGCGCACGAGTACGCTCTCGAGCGGGGCGTGATCATCGCTGATACTAAGTTCGAGTTTGGAGTCGACGAGGAAACTGGTGAGGTCGTGCTGGCTGATGAAGTCCTGACGCCCGACTCCTCCCGCTTCTGGCCTAAGGAATCTTACGCTGTCGGTCGCGGCCAGGCTAGCTTTGACAAGCAGTTCCTGCGTGACTGGTTGGTTAGTGAGGGTCTCAAGGGTAAGGAGGGTGTGCGTATGCCGGATGATATTGCGCTCAAGACGGCGGAGAAGTACCAGGAGGCCTGGGAGAAGATCACTGGTGGTAAGATCTAGAGTGAGGTAAAGTAAGCCTGGTATACTGGACGAGTATATATTAGTTGAGTTAGTTAGATTTTATGTTTGTTTATGATTGACTCGAGACGAGAATGAAATTTAAGTATCATGGCCAATGGTTGACCCACCGTGGAGGCAATAGCAGGGATTATTATACACATATATGGTCTTATCTTCTCCTACCTTTACTCCTCCCACTCAGACTTCAACCCCTTGAGACCCTTCTTATTTGAATCCCGATCCTGCTGCTTTCTCTCCTCCTTGATGGACTTCTCCTTGGGCGCATCAGTCCAACCAGAGCTAGCACCCTCATCAAGAGGCAGCGCATGATCACCACAAATACGTCGCTCCTCTTCGATTTCCGCCTCACTAATGCCATTCGTCGCCCAGATCTTGTGAATGCGTAGATCAAATGGCCCCTCGACACGGTCCGTGAGACCAATACCGATACTCTTAACACGCTGACGAGTCAAAGAAGTCTGAGGCTCAATGACGAAGCCGTGATTCGTGCGCACAAACGCGTTAAAAGGCAAGAGAACAGTTTCCCATCCATTTGAGCCAGATGTCGTTGTACTGGTAGAGGTAGAAATGATTGTCGATTCAGGCGGGACGTCTGAAAGCGCGGCAGGCAGGCCAGTAGGATATAAGTCCTCAACGGCATCAGGTGTGTCTGCCTGGAATTCATAGTCCTCTTGCAATTTTGGTGTATCGCGCAGGCGGTGGTGGCGCGTGTATAGTCTGTGCTGGTGGATATCCGTCTCAACCACCGCGTCTGTCTGCACGTTGACGGTGTACCGGCGACCATCAGACTTAATGCGCAGGGCAAGGTATGCGTAGGGATCAACATCCCAGAAGAGCCGACCGAAGAGCCAGAAGCCTCGGTCTTGGTTGCGGAACGCGGCGTAACCTGGTTTACAGGTATTAGTTGTTTTCTTTTTCTTTTTCTTTTTCTTTTTCTTTTTTTTCGTGTTCTAGGCCACTTGTGTGTGTCACTACTTAGGTAGCGGGTGAGGACCTACCGGTTCTTTCGACGCGCCAGTTGTCAGGAAGCTTGGTTGAGATGCTACCATGGAAACGCGCATGTGAGGGAGTATTTGAAGAAGGTTCAGCTGGTTCGTAGTCTAGGCTGGCTGTGCTAAAGCCTCCTACTGCGCGGTCGGCCATGGTCTTGCATCCTGTAACGGTGCCCTCGTCTTCGAAATTTAGGAGGGTATAAGGTTTAGTCGGGGTGTGAAGGGCCTCTGTGTTCCAAGCTGCGGCAAATTAGTTGAGCTGCAAGACTGACGACATTGACATTGACATTGACATTGACACAACTTACCGATCTTTGATAGACGGCCGAACTCATCGGCACTGCGTTTGAAGAAACCGCCTTGGGCTAGACGTCGAGTTGGAAACATATTGTAATTGTAAGGATATGTACCTAGTGGTCCAGATCTGGAGTTGGAGTTGCTTAATATCAGATGTCGGCTTCCGAGGTGGCGTGAACGGGCCCGATAAGAGATAAGTGTTTGGGATGTTTGGTCTCTTCTCCCTTCTCTCCTTTCTCTTTATGCCCTAACTTCTTTTATACTTCACCTTCATTGTTCTTATAACATATGTATACCCTTAGGAAGAGTTCTACCTCCTCTCAATAATATACACGTCATCATGTCGCAACTTTACTTTCCAGGGATTCGGAATTTGGGACTCATGTTCAAGATTCACGCAAGCCAACATATTGAAGACTGAGACTGATCTTCCTTTGTCCCTGTTGAGCTTAGTACTGTATCAAATTCCATGCATCTGCCGATGGCTGATAAAATTCTGATCCTCAGGCAAATCTCGTATACTTTGCCAGGCCGACACCTGAATCGGTATGACGTGTATTTCCTCTTTGGGAAGGACATCCAGACCCGTGGACTTCATGGCCAACTTTATCTGAAGAGCCAATGCTCTATCAACGAGGTCCGGCCCCGGTGATTCTTCTGGGTGTCCGGTTGTGAACCAGTGGTTTGATGACCTCCTGGACTACAGAGCCATAGGTAAGGCTTGATTCTGAGTCAAGTTCACTTCGAACTAGTACTTTGAAGGCCCCCCCGGAAATATACCATGGTTAGCATCATGTATACTTGTCCGTGCTGGGAAACCCCTGCCCTGGAAAGCGGATATTCGATGTTTATCCGAAAATGGCGACGGAGGTGGTGTTCACAGAGAATATCCCACGTAGTTATCTCGATATCTCGTTCTTTTCTCTTCCCCCCTTTCCCATACATTCATACTACACTCGTTTACCGCAGTTGAACCATTCGTTTGCCGCAGTACAAATATTCAGTTACTCTCGTTGATTATATACTCTCCCCAATGGCTATTCACTACGTTGAACAGAATGGCTCTGAGCCTAGTATCTCTAGGCATAGTGCCCCAGAGCCTACTATCACCAACCAAGATGTCCATAAATATTCAGCTTCGGAGTCTAGTATCCCTGGATCTAGTAGCTCGATGCCTAGTACTCCAGAACAAATCGTTGCCAAGCCAGCGAAGCCAGTGATGACAGTCAAGACATCCGAGGTAGATGAGACAGTCACAGCCAAGCCAGGCAAAGCCGACAACAAGAAGCCATGGGAGGTAGACAAGACGGTACCCATCCCTCGTGCGGATCGATTGAATCAAACTCCATCCAAGGGAAATGCACAGGGCCTCTTTCTTCCTGATTGTTGTGTTTTTGTAGGAAAGTAGGTATTACCCAGTCCTATCTCATACTGTATACTGACCAAATAGCCTCTCTGTCAAGGTTTCTCCTGAAACGTTGGAAGAAGATCTTACAGATATGATCTCTGCATTTGGCCGGTGTCATGTTAAGATCAAAGTGTCACCGTGTGTGAAGAAACTGCCTATTGGCTTTGTACAGTTTGAAGTAAGTATGACTGTTTTATACATGGTATATATGGGATATACTAACATAGTAAATATAGAACATTAAAGCAGCAAAGGCTGCATTGAAACAAAATGGAAACCTGATGCTCCATAGTCGGGTATTGAGATTGGAATCATCCAAGGCCAGACGTGAGTTTCCCAGTTTCTTTGATTTGTTGAACTTCATTTGATGCCTTTGCACATTTGCATATTTGCACATTTGCACCTTTACACGTTTGCATCTTTATACGTTTGCACTTTCCCACTTTCCCACCTTCTCATCTTCACTCCTCACATTTTCTTTTAGGAACTGCCAACTTTGGCTATCTTTCTCATGCTCCCATCAACAAATCCCAAGTCGCCGATGCCCTGAAAGGACTTGGTAGTCTCGAGGGAGTAAGTGTTGAGCACTTTGTCACTGCAGAAGGAGTCGAGTCTACCTTTAGCGTCGTCACTTTCGCATACCCCGACGATTACGCAGATGCCCTTCAGGTAAGTCGACTGTCCAATTTTGATCTGACTCTACTGACCACTTGATCATTCTAGTATTTCCAAAACCACCCCGAGTACTATATGAAAAGATCCAAAATGGACCCCAACGACACCCAGCATCCTCAGGATCACGCTCCTGCCGGACAAAGGCCATCTAACCAACCTCCCCCAAACCGTGGCAGCCAGCAGCGATACAACAACAATGGCCGCCGATCCTTCCACCGTCCATGGTACAGCGGTGGTAACAACAACAACGGCAATGTCAACAGCAATGGCAACGTCAATGGCAACAGTAACAGAGGCGGGTTTCGAAATGCTCCTGGTCCTGCTCCCAGACACCAAAACCCACCCTTTGCAAATCATGGTCATAGTCAGAGCTTCAATGGTCAAGGCCATTCGCCTCACGGATCTTTCTCTCAGAACTACCCCGGTGGCCAGGGTTTCCCTCAGAACAGCTTCAACCAGGGCTATTCCAACCCCAATTTCAATAAAAACTTCCCTGGCAACAACTTCCACCCGAACTACCAGGGCAACAACTTCCCCAACTATCCCAATCAAAACTTCATAGCTGCGGGTGCTTTTCCCAATCCCCCTGTTGTGTTCAATCAAATGCAAATGCATGAAGGCCCACCAGCGCCATATCATGCTGATTACACTGCTATGCCGGCCCCAGGGTTTCCTGTGTTCTTGAGCAATCAATCATACCAGCCTCACAATACTCTTCCTCCAATCATCACTCAGCCTCAGCCGATTGATGGTTCTGTTGCTGGTCCTGTTCCCGGTCCTGTTCCCGGTCGCCGGCGATTGCCCCCTCGTCCCAATTGTCCCTTGATTGTCTCCAGCCAGCCTCAATTTGATACCGAACATCACCGGCAACTCTACTACGAGCCCTATCCCGCAGACGAACCCGTCGTGGATATGCAGTCAAACTGGACCAGTGCTCCGGGCGCTTGTTTCGTGCAGCCTGACTACAATCAGCCCTACCCGCCCAACGAATATCCTCGTAGTCGCCAATCTAGCATGGAAAGTCAGCGGAACATCAACTCGCCGCCCACAGTCAACGAATCCGAGTCAACCTTGAGGCAGACTAAAGTTCAGACTCCTGAGATCGAGAGAGGTCGCCAACTATTCCGGCCGCGCCACCCCAACACCGATGGAAGCTGTGACATGGCTCCAATTTCTGCTCCTGCTAAGACCCAGAGTGACCCCGTCTCTATGCAAGCTCTGGATAGTTCCCCGGAAAGAAGTAACATGGTATACGCGAGCAAGTCCGCTGAGGCTCGACTTGAGCTCGCTGCACCTGTGACGGAGCCTATCAAGTCTGGGAACAAACCCACCGAACCTGAGACTGAGCCCAACCCGCCTCAGACTGAACCCACCTGTTCTCCAACTCATGATCAAGATAAAGAAGAGTTGACAGATGAAACCAAGCCACCATTGAACATTGACACCAAGAATGAAGAAAGCGCTGGATCCTCCTCCGAAGCCGGCCCCAAGACACCAGACACCGACGAGTCTCGGGAAAGCGCTAAACTTCAGACTCCAGCCAAAGCTGGCTCACTAAAATCTGCCGATACCAAGACCCCTGATACTGTCGAAACCCTCAAACTAAGCGACAAGGATACTCCAGACAAAGGCAAGTCCCCGGAAGTGGCCACACCCACTCCAACCAAGAGTGGTAGCAGAAAACTTCAGCCCGCAGTGCCAGACGACAAATACCAACTGGCCCGCCATGCTTTTCAGCATCGCAAACCTCTCAAGAAAAAGTACCAACCCAAGACCGACACTGGCAAAACAGTCGAGCAGTACACCCGTGAGATGAATGCGCAGCGCGCCTCGGCTGACCCTGACTCGCGTGTCCCTGACCATATCTTGCAAGAGGTCATCCAAGAGCTAGAGAATGAGCGCAGAGATAATATTCGAAAGAGCCGAGGTCTCGGTCCCAGCGATAAGAGCAGTGTTGACAGTGGTACTTCTTCAAAGAAGTAGGTCTGATATTGACAGATGATACATGATTGAAATGGGGATGGAGGAAGTTATCCGGTTTGATTTTCTTACTATGACAGGGTGTTTTATTCTTATCTTTTTCTCCCTTTGTTCCATGCTACTTTTATGGCCTGGCCTTCTCTATTCGATGTTGTGGATTTCAAGTTGCTTTTCAGGGAAAACACAAAACACCAAAAAAAGGGGAGCATGTAGATTACGATGGACATGCTCGATTCAATTATTCAATTTCAAGTTTTATTCTGCAAGCTTGCTCCTTCCTATCAGTAATTCAATGGATCGTATAGGTATGTTCATTCTTAACAGTCGTAGTCTTGGTTAGTGTCGTCAGTCATCTACCATAAGCTGCCCCAGTGGCCCCAGTGGCCCTGGAGTATGATATATAAAGAAAAAAAAGTGAAGTGACTCATCGATGATGATCTGATCTGATCTGATTGATTTGATTGACATGACCGAAATGGCAACTTGATCCCCGCCCATGTGAACGCCGAGACCGAAAGCCGGTATATATGTACAAAATGCTTCTCGATGCCAGGTTGCATGCCATAGATACCAAAACCGAATGCCAGTGGGGGATAGTGATGCACGCCGAACAAAAGGACAAGAACGCAAAGACAGAAGAAAATGGCGAATTCCCATATGCAAACGCTCATGGTTGAAATAGATGTGGAGGTCGTGAGGATAGAGGGTATGTATGCTGTGAGAGAGGTAGAATGTGGAGGCGAGGGGTTGAGAAGTAATCGGATATGAAGAAGATAACGCTGGGAATAAGAAGTGGGAATAAGAGCGGAGGGAACAGGACGAGAAAGAAAGGTAAGAAGGGGGGGAGGGTGTGAAGTGATTATAGGAGTGTAAGCTCTGTGATCAGAATGATCATCAAGCTCTCACACGTCTAGCATCGAAAAAGCCCAGATTGACAGCTGTATCATTGACGCCCAGGAACGGCGCCGCATCCTCGAGTAGTTCCCAAGGACGGACTGGATAGGGACCGACAACACGACCGCGATGTTGAAGACGAAGTCGGTTGGCCATAGAGTTCGTGTCTGGCAGTCCGGTAGATAGACCCGATGCTGCTGCGACAGACTGCTGCGCTGACGATGACCCAGCGATAGAGAAAATAGCAGGTGTGGGAGTTGGTGTTGATCCCGATGCTGCTGGAGACGGGGCTGAGACTTGCTGGGCATTTGCAGAATGATCCGTCATTGGGCCTAGGAGGTAGAGGAAGCGAGAGTCGTTCTGGAATGGAACGAAGGATGGGCATTTCTCTTTCAGGAACCGTGCGCACTGGTGGCGAACATCGTCTGGGAAGATATCGATTAACGAGGCAGCCACGTCGAGAGCGTGTGTCTGTAGGAGGATTCCTGGACAGGGACGGAATCCTTCAGTTGGGGTCGGGTGCGGGAAGTAATCGGCTGCAGGGAATAGACGAAGGACATCTCCGGGGAGGCGCGAGAGTGCAATGCAGAATATTGATGTCAGAAGTCGGAGCTGTTCGTGCAGAGGATTGACCTTGAGTGATGGGGGCGGTTGAGAAAATGCAGACCGATGGAGGACGATGATTCTCAGCAAAGCGGAGAACCAAAATGCAAGAGCACGCTCGAATTTTGGACGATCTGTGTTGGTCACACCCTTGGCGATGGTACTATTGTGCATGGTGATGATCTTGTGGAGAAGCGAATCCATCTTTTCCACGAGCACTGGAGCGACAGATGGAGCTCCAGAATCGGGGATGCTACTCGCAAGCTCTTCGATAATGGTAAGATACATTTTGGCAGTTTCCAATGATCCCAGCTTGTCAGGCGAATCAGGAATATCACCTATTGGCTCTTCGAGCAGTGGGATGGAGAAAAACGCCTTCTCGGCACGTTCCCGGATTTGGCGCACGGCGTCCGGGGTCATCAGTGCAACCAGGTCAACCCAATGAAGTCTGTGAGCACGGCAGTCGGATACGGCAGTTTTGAACATGGCATCAACGATATTGGTTCGGTCTTCAGACCCTGAGTCCGCATGGAATAGAACCTGGAGCTTCAACTGGCAGAATGGGAGCGAGAAATCGTCCGTCATACAGGCAAGCTTTTCGACCTTTGAGAGGACTGAGTTGTCATCGGACTGTGAGTCGACGCCCAATAAAAGGTCAAGCGCTTTCTGGACAATACTCAAAGCGGCTGGGTATTGGTCCATGAGTTTTTGCATCCCATTCTGTGCCGCACATTCGGGGTGTCGCACGAGAAGATCACGTAAAAGCATGATTATAGAGTGCTCCAGCTCGCTGCGCCCAGCGGAAGAGCCACTGGCATTGGAAGATGCGGCATCGCAAACAATTTTGAGCGCTTCCTCGGAGTTCTTATTGAGAAACTCCTGCTGTGCTAACTGGAACCGATATGACACCAAATCAAAGGACTTGCTATCTTCGTCACCAGAGACAAGAAGTTGGACAAGGTCAGCAGGGAGTTGGGCTGCATTGGGGACTGTTGTTGGCGTAGAGAGTGTGAGTCTCTTTGCAAGGGCCAAAAATGCTCTGATAGTAACGCATCCAACACCAATTAGGGGCGGTAGAATCCGTAGTAAAATGGTACGCTCAGGAGATCGCAAATGACCACATACCCAACGGGCAAGAATACCATCGAAATGCTTTGGGTGAAAAGACCTCAGCTGTGCAAGGTAACGGCAGGTGTCATTTGCTGACAGATTCGCATGGCCATCATCAGACTCCAGATGCTTGATGAGTGTGTTGAAAATCGCGTCCAGAGTGGGCTCATCCATGACATTTCCTGATTGCAAAAGCTGATCTAGCTTCTCTCGGAAGAAGGGATCAACGCCACCAAAACCATCTGGAATGTGGTCAGAGACCGGAGAAGATGCTGCCATGATTGACTTGTTCTCCATGCGAGAGAGATCCTGGCGAAGAATGGACACAGTGTTGAGTTCAGTCGGGATGCGCAAACCAAGTTCGATCAGAGAGAATATTAGGTCAAGACTTGGCATGCCATACCTCTTAATTCCGGCGTAGGCATCAATGAGTCTCCGGAATAAATCAGTTGTAGCGCCAATCACGCAAAGAGAGTTGAAATGGCAGTTTGTGGTATCTGCAACCGAGGCGAGAACGGTGCTATCACCACAGCTAGACGCAAACTTCAACACATCTGCTAACATTGAAATATCATCAAATGTTTCAAGGGCATCGCGGACGGTATAAAACTCGACAGGAGTCAGCGCAGACACCACAGAGGGAATCCCAACGGGAAACGCTTCTCTGTTAGTTGACCTGTTAGCGAGTTAGTAAGATGGGTGGTAGGCTTAGGAGAGAAATGCAAATGCTTACTCTGTGCCCCGGTTGTGTTCCGCAATTGCTTTGCGTAACCACTGGCCAACCTCGGCTTTGACAGCCCAAGGCAAGTTTTGTGGTAATGAGTCTAATGCCATTGACGCAGATTCATGGACACCGAAAATTCCGGGTAGACGTTGGCTGATGATGTCCTTCACGCTATCAATAGTTGCGTTCTCTTCCGAAGCAGAGAGTCCAGTACGAGTCAGCAGAGTACTCCGCAAGTTCCCAACATGTTCTGGAAGACGGGCAACAGGGAGTTGCGCTATTAATGCGATATCGATAGGCAAGTCCTGCACCTACACATCTGTTAGTGATCAGAAGGGGTTGGCATGTGAATTCGATCTTACCTTGCGCTCCTCGGCTGAAGATGACCCATTAGTAACGCCTCGTGCCATAAGCCATTGAAGATAGCGGCCGACTGAGAATGTCTGTGACCTGACAAGTTCAGAGACGACATGATAGATTTGATCCATGTTGAGCTTTTGATTGTTCTGTCCACGCGAGAGAAAAGCCAGTATGTGACTGTCTATATCAATGCCGGCCAATTTCCATTTGCGGAGCAGGCGAACACCGATGTAAACTCGGCAGAGACCGTGGCGGAAGGGTGTAGAGAGCCATTCCAATAGTTTGAAGACCAAAACAGCCTTGTCATCAAAAGCGTCGAGGTAGCCAAAAACAGAAGATAGATCTTGAGCAGTGCGTATGGAGTCGAGAAGTCGGACGATGCGTTGATGGGGTGAGCGTTGGGTTGTCTGTTTCGAGTGTTTGGGTCGTTGCACTCGCGCATTGCGTTCTGCGAGACTCTGGAAAAGAGCTTTCTCTGCCTCATTGCTCAGATCAAGGGCAGATAGCACCTGTTGTTTATACGTCTCCCAAGAATTTGGGAGTATCATCGAAGATGTATGGTCAAGAACAAGCTTTTTGATAAAGCGAGAAAGACGGTCGATAAGAGGTTGAAGTTGGGTTAATTTAGCTTCAGTTGCCTATTGCTAGTAGTCAGTATTGACCTCAGGCAGAAAGTAATCAGTGCAAGTTGAACGTACCTGTCGCATTTTTTGAAGCAGTAGCTCAGCCAATCGTCGTCCCCTTCGTCGATATCGCATGATACTAGTCCAGTATATGCCGAGCATCAAAAGCCAGACTGGGATTGTGCCGATAGAAGCAGCCTCAAAGGATGACAAGAACCATTCAAGGAAATGGTCATGGTCCAATAAGTTTTCGGAGAATAAACGTGCGGTCAACCCGACTCTGGAGATAAGGGTTAGCATGCTACTCACGATTAACGGCAATCTACGAGCACGTACGCATATGTCATCTTCGCCTTCCAATCCGAGGACTTGGGGGCAGCAAACACCCCTTCGACAAATTGCTGGACATTGGTCGTCCATTCTCGGACCCATTTCGCCTCTAACCCAACAGCCAAAGCCCCACTTGTGCCTTTTCGCTTGAACGCACGGATTTCGTTCGCACCCACGCACTTTGCCAGCCAGACAGCACGAGCAACAGGAATCCATTTGCCAAGGCACTGGTCCAGGAGGATCTTGCCGCGGATACCATGAGGAATGGTTCGACTCAACCTTCGCAGCGGAACAGACGGGTTGGCGAGATCTCGAAGCCACGCCTCGCGCTTGTTGTCGGTGAGCGTAACTCGAGGCGG